CAGGCTCTGATGGCCCATTGTGACAGAACTCTGTACAAGTTAGCAGACAGGCAGGCTCTGATGGCCCATTGTATTTAGAAGTCTGTAATAATTAGTGGACAGGCTCTGATGGCCCATTATGATCAGAACTCCATACTAGTTAGGGCACAAGGAGATGCAATGGCCAACGTTGACACTGACCCTTCCGCGTAGACATCTATGTCCATCAACAGAAGAAAACGCATACAAGCAAGCATCATCAACCGAGCTATCAGCAAGAACAAGTACAAGCAGAGCCTGCAGAATCGCTCAGAGTAAAGGTACTGAGGAGGTAGGGTGTTTTCTGGAAACACATTTCAACCTAACCTTTAAAGGAGGAACAGAAAGAGAAAGACTTTCCACATCTGAGGTGTGGCACATGCGAAATTACAGAGGCAGAACGAACCATTTTCTGCAGGAAGCTTCGCACAGCTAAGAAAACCAACAGAAAAGAGGTGTTGGGTGCAAGTAGAAAGTGACCTTGGTGAGATGGGGGATGGCTGGCTGGAGAGCCGTGGAGGCACAGCAAGCGAGCCAGTGCAGACCGGAGGTGAGAGGTCATGGGTGACTCTCTGCGCCCTCACTGACGCGGCTCCAGGAAGCGCTGCCGCTTGCGGACGGTGAGCCTCCCACTCCGAACGGTGAGAACACTTACGGTACGCGCTGCACAATGGGAGATAAGCAATTTATAGCAAGAGTTTGCTTCTAATCTAAACCAAATAGAATGTTAAAATCCACCAAAGACAGAAACTGCGATCTGAATTAGCTCCCCATGGAATAAATTTCCTTCCTAATGCTCCGTTGTTAAGCACAATTTGTTGATAAATCTGTCTCTAAGCCGACATAAAAATCTAGTATTGATTGCCAGAAGAGCATTGCCATGTCCCAGATGCATTATTCACCTGAAATTGCTATAGACACACACGAATCTCAGAGCCACAAGCCCTCTTTCTTGCCGCAAAATGGACTTAGGCCACCGCGATGGGTCTAAAGTAAAACCCCCACAGGAAGGTTGAGGGGATAAAAAAAATAAAATACTCCAGGTATGTGTTCTAAAGCCATAGTTACTATACCAGCATCATCCATTCCCACCGTTTATTACACTGCCCGTGGCCCTGAGCCCTGCAAACAGATGAGTGCTACAGAGTAGTGTTTCTCTCCTCACTGACTGTTTCCTACATATCTAATACTGTATTTTGCCATGCATAACGTGCACCCATATTTTTGGCCTGAGCTTTCAAGGTGGGGGAAAAAGACTTTCCTTTTAAGTTTTAGTTCAACTACTTATTTATTTATTTCTATTCAGATACTTGGTTTTTGTACACAGGAATTTCAGCTTTTATTTTTTAATGTATTATGGTACAAGAAATTTTATGTAACAAATAATCACAAAACATAAGAACAGACACACCGTATCTTAGGTACGATCCATGTATAACGCACATCCTTATTTTTCCCCTTGAAAATCTGGGCAAAAAAAGTGCACATTATACAGGGCAAACTATGGTAATTTCAAAGATCAGCCCCCTTTAAAAAAAAGAAAGGAAACTAGGATCAGCAGCATTCAAGGTTCCTAGGACCCTTCACCTTTACTGACTGAATAATCTCCCTTTTACTAAGCTCTTAATCTCCCTCTTATCTCTTCAGTGGCTTGTGATGGTCAAAAATTATCAATAATATTCCATTTAATTTATGAGGATTTCCTCCCCATATGCCTCTTTTTGGAGGATTACAGACAATTAGTTCCTCCTAATTGGGACAGGTCACGAAATAGCATTCCGGCTGCAGCCCCTGATTTGACTTGAAGCATAACAATAAATACAAGGCTGAATGAAAAAAAGGATTTGTTACACACTAAACTGCAACAGTGGGAAAGACTCAGTCAGTTTCCTGGAAATGAGGGGAAAAGGCATTTTCTGGCCCGATGCATCCAAAGGATCACTCCAGGGTTCACCTCCCCGGGCACCATATGCAACGTTGGCCTGTGAAACTCGACACTGGAGATGCAGGGCTGACAGAGCTCTATTTTCTGCATCTTACAGCCGCTGATCTTACAACCGTCTCCGGTAAAGAACTTCTCCCCTGACTCCTAACACCATGTGTTTCATAAACACGTCGGCCCAATCAGCTTTTCCCTGGTGCATTAGCCACAACATTCGACTTTGGTAACGACAGGAACAGAAGGGCTCCGTTTTAAAATTTCTCTCTTTCATTCACAATATTTCTCTGATTTATCTGGCTGTGGCGCTTCGTGTTGGTTTTCAGTTGAACTAATTCAGACCGGGGAGGTGGAGGGGGAGCGGGGTGGGGGAGGGTGGGATGTACCATTGGCGATGAAAGCAGCTCCCTATACCAGGCAGCTGCTTCTTTCCTGGGAAACGATTCACCCAGAACAGCGGCAGCTCCTGGGCCTCACACCTCCCTTCCCCGCATTTGCTGAATTTAGCACTAGCCGGCTGGGGACGCAAACACTCCGGCGTGCCGGTGAGGGCGCATCCTCCCAGCAGTCTTCTTCCGACCGCGCACAGAGCAACTGCTGCCGGTCCGTTTGTTGTATTCCACTCGTACACACGTCCTTGCAGCATTTATAAAAACCGAGGCGAGGTTTGCCAGTTTGCAACCACTCAAGCTCCCTGGTGCTTTTGGTTTGAATCAAGTCGGTGATGAAATAATGAGTTCCTATTCAATTCTGGGTTAATCATTACTGTTTCTTCCCTGTTGTTTTACAGCGTTACTAAATACCCATGACCTGAAATATCCATGATATCTGTAATGTTATATGAGGGTATCATATAACCAGGAAAACATTCTTCACTAAAAGGAGCTTATGGTTCATTTATTATCAAGGTCATTTATTTATGAGAAAGATCTTGCCAACTCACAACTCTGGCTGCAGTGGGATTGGTTACCACACGCCTGTCAGTGTATATTAAATTGCATTTTGCAGGAATGGTGGCAGTGAGCTGATGCTGCTGAGTTATATCACGGCATCCTTCAAACAGCATCGCGGCACACAGGTCCGGGTGCCCGTGACCGCTGCCAGGACCAGAGGACATCAGCTTTAAGGAATGTCCTCCTGTTGGTGCAATGGCCCGCCACTGCATCTGACAGGACGCCATCTGTTCATCCTGATGCCGTTCTCCAGGGTAACTGGGTTAAAACTACAAGACGCCGGAACACAGTCCCACTGCCCACTCGCTGCACGTTGAACTGACTGGCTCTTTCTATCAGGGGCTTTTCATTTCACAGGCCAGTCATTAAAGTTTGCGTGTGTGTGGCCATGTTTTAAGCGATCAAGACTTCTCTACAATTGTGATTCAATATATACAACAACTGAATATTAAAGTATTTCTCATTAAAAGAGTATATTTCTCTGTGGTTAGGAGCATTGCTATGGAGTTTAATTGCCAAGGGTCGAACCCCAGCCCCACCTTTTCCTGCCTCGGTGAATCTGAGCAAGTTACCAGGGGTATTGGGAAGATTGATCTAACGAACTAATCCAAGAAAAGAATCAAATATAGTACTTGACCTATAATAATACCTCCATATACATTAGTCATTATTATCAACAATAGCCCCAGTTTGATATTAGTCTCAAATTGGTCCAATGAAGTTTGAGAACCAACATTTATTACCCTTCGGATGGCATGTGCTATCTAGACACAGTGCAAGATGAATCCAATCTCTCAAATGTGCTTCATTTGATTTTAAATATCACCCACATCCATATTTTAACAGCGACCCATTTTTAAGCCTCCTCGGCGATGTTTCGCACAGTGTTTGTGACTGCGTGTCATTTCCCGAGACGCTGGGAACCCGCACGCCACCGACGAGCCCACGGAACACCGCCGCGGCCTCACCGCAAGCAGAGCTGATGCTCACAGAAGCTCCATTTCATGACTCGTGGAAACCTCAATTCCAAACCATAATTCATCCTGGAAACGCTAAAAATGATGTCTGCAATGAGTGGGGAGACAAGGAACCCACAGCAGGTCCATTGTTTCCGTTAGTGCGGGTTTAGCCTCTCAAAGCTTCCCAACCCTCCGTTTCACGCCCACAGTGGGCTGCAGGTTACAGGTCATGTACAAAGGAAAGGTAGACTTGGAAGGAGAAGAGAGTCGAAAAGGTTAGCATGCAGACTGGAGACAGGAACGTAAACTCCTTCGCTGGGTGATGGTACATTTAACTCCAGCTTTTGGAAGCTCCGTCTGGCTGGGGGGGTGGGGGAGGGGGGCGGGCCTTTCAGTTCCCACCGACTGTCTCCGAACAACCGTCACTCACTCCGCGAAGCACTGGCCACGCTCACTACACTGACCCGCCATAGTGTGTGTGACTTTTGTGCAATGATTTGCCTCCTGGGTATGCTGTTTTTCAGGATTATGAAATGAGTTCATGGGGAGAAACAGTAATAAATAACTATCTGCAAACTGTAACAAAGAGCAAAATTATTATACTAAAACCAGTCTTTACATATGTAACTTGGAAACACTCAAAGTGTTTGTTAAGCACAAATTCTCTGAAAATTCACTATTGGAGGAACCATATGCTAGACTCTCCCACAGAGTTAATGATACAAACTGGATTAGCAAATGGACGCTTCACAGTTTTCTCAAAGACGGTACCTGATGTACTCATATCAGATAAAAAACAACCAGCCACGATGGGGGAGGGGCTGCATTGGTTAGGATGGGAAAAGTATTGGTTAAAGAGGATTTGTCAAGAAAAAACTAAACTGATTCAAAACAACAGTTTTAAAACACTAATTTTTTTAAAATTTTTTAAATTTTCAGTCAATTCAAATCTAGTATTTGACCATACCTTTTTTGAAGATACACATATATCACTTATGCGCCAAAAAATAAATTAAAATTTTCTCCCTGAACTTCATAGAACTCATGCGTACCACAGTTGTTCATTTTTGAACAGTTAGAGTTTAAAACAATCACAATGGAGTGGCATTAAAAGAGTAAAATATGTCTTACCTCTTCCCACTGGTGTATGTATCTTATTAGTCGTGAAAGTCGCAACAAGCGCAAGAGACTGAGAATTTTTGTAAACCTCACAATGCGAAGCGCCCTGGCCGTCTTGTAAACCTCCGAATCCATTCCTTTTTCTACGATGAGAAAGATATAATCCACTGGGATGGAGGAGATGAAGTCCACCACAAACCAGCTCTTCAAATAATTCATCTTGATCACTTTGGGGTCCAGGATGATTTCAGAGCTGTCCTCATTGACAGTGCCCGTCCTAAAGTTCATGATCAGGTCCAAGAGGAACACGGTGTCTGACGCCACGTTGAAAATAATCCACGGCGTGGTCGTTTGCTCTGTGAAGAACGTGATGCCAACGGGAATGATGACCAGATTTCCCACCATCATTATGAGCATTATTAAATCCCAGTAAAACCTACAAGAAATGTATTTTAAAAATCAGATTTTAAGACGCAGACAATAACCAGCCATTCTCCCCCCGCCCCCCACCATAAAAAATGCTTATTACTGGTTTATGGTTAAATAATAAATGAGTGAAAGAACAAAATGTTGATTTTTATAAACAAGGCAACTAATTCCATCAATGAGGACAAATTTAAATCTAAGCAAAGTTAGCGTTCTCCTAAAGCAAGGCACTGTAATTATAGAATTCTAAAAATTTGATACCGTGTGATAGAAATAAATTCAAAACACCCATAAACCCTTTTATTTGGTGAAGAAGTAAAAGCACCTTCCCTTGTAGCTTGCATAGAAAGCTGGGAGAAATATAAAATCAGAATATCTACCTTAAAAAAAAAGGAACTGTTTTTGGAAAGATTATTCAGAAGTGCTCTGAAGTACTTGATACCAAATTACCAATGGCAGGTGAGAATCAACAGGAATAAATAGGGCCCAGTAAAGGTACCGGTACCGCACACGTGTGTCTAGGGAATCAGGCCAAACGTGGGCTCCGGAACCGCCCGCCACTGCACAGGACTCCAACCCTTTGTGGTCTGTCCTTCTTTGGACTGAAATAGGAAAACTATTTTTTTTTCCTGAATGTAAAAATAATGTAAAAGGCTCTACTGCAGATTTGAAACAAGAATTTATGATTGCTAACTACCTTTTGAAACATTCTTAACTCACCTTATATCTCATCTTTATATGATCTCACCTTATATTTCTCCTCCTGGGAGAAAACCAGGGACTTTCAGGTTATTCCAAGTTAATATATTGTAACTCAACTCTTCAGAGATGATGATGTTATTTTTCATCTGGGTCCTTTCAAAGTCTATTGACACTATACGTAGACTATTTATATTTGTGACAGTACCTACTTATAACATGGGAGAAACAAAACTGGCTAGTACAACTCCCTAACAATGAAAAGCCTGGAAACATGAGTTACTTTATCCTGGCCATACATGTCCCCTTTTGGAGGTTCTGTTGCATAAATGACATACACTTTATGACAGAAACTTCTGTTAACCAAGATATTTTTATGTAACATGAAATGCCCCGCTATATGGGGGCTGCATTTCCTTAAGGCGTACATTTGCGTAACCCTATCACAGTCACCAGCATCCCTGGCTGTGAACGGCCCCTGGGATAAAGGTACCAGTGCGACAAAGACCTATAAAAGGCACTCTCTCCCCTTGTCTCCACCCACCCCCAAGGCACGGGAAAAGGTAAATGTTTGTCATTTGGAAGGTGTCACCAGTCTTCCTGTCAAAACGTAGCCATGCATTTACGGACAAGTGTACAAATACCCATGTCAATCATACACCATGCCCTGGCTCAGCGCCAACTTTTCTTTTTCTTCTCTCCATGGAAACATGCAACATGTGCCACTAAATACATGAAGGACAAAGGGCAGATGTAGGTGAGACGCGGCACAGTAACGGCTGTTTCACGAAGAAGTGACGTCCTTGGACCCAAAGGGAAACCGCGTGTGCTCTGCACGTCTGCACGTGTGCACACACTCTCACTCTCGCCAGCCTCCTCTGGGGGCTCCTCTCCCCAACCCGCCGCGCCCTCGGAGCTGGCGGGGCCCTGGGTGTCATGCACGGCCCTACCATCTCCACTGCACACAGGCCATCTGGGGAACACCACACACGCACCCAGGTCTTCCAGGGATACCCCGTAACCGATGACTCTGCAAGACTTACCTCCGGTCCACCCCTGCTGTAAGCCTCCTCATCCTCACAGCCCGCGGTCCACTGAAGCTCCCCTCACACACCTCACACTCCTGTCAAACAGCGTGGCCCGCCTCCCTCCCACCCACCACCTAGCCTCCCACGGGTACTCTTCAGATGCTCGCTGCCCCGGGAAGGAACAACACCACACCTGCTGTGCAAGCCAGCAACCCTGGAGGCATCCTCGCTAACTCCCGGCCCTAAATCTCCTCGGTCTCACACGCATCGGTCACCAGGCCTGTTGGGTTCTCATACTACACACAAGGTGTGCTCATCCATTTTTGCCCTTACGATTCCCCCTGCAGCTGTCTTCAACCAGAAATCTGGAGACGAGTTACCTAACTTCTCTAATACTACATTTTCTCTTCTGTGAAATGCAGATCATAAAACCCAACGTGCAGAGTTTTACAAGTTCAATAAAATAATACATACAAATCACAGACCCTAGCATATACTGAACTGTAGACACAATGTTGGCAGCTTATTTAGTATTTTACCTTTCCTTACTAAAAAAAGAAATTCATTTTCTTGGGGAGCAACCAGGAGCCCATTGAAAACTGCTCACTTTTGCAGACACCTCTGTATTTCTGTCATTAAGATAGAAGCTATTTTTAAGGAAAAATCATGTTCTATAAATCACAGTCAACAGAAATGAAAAGGATAAAGCGCCATCCAATCTTTATTATTGCAATAAGTTTTACCACACCATAGCTTTTAATTGCTGGTATTTAATATGGTCTGAAGCCATTAGATATATTGGTATCAATACAAAGCTCCATTAATCCTTATCATTTCCTTTTAAGTATCATTGACTCTATTTTCTAGAAAGGTCTTGTAATAAAGAAAGGTCTTGTAATAAACTTTGCCTAACACAACACTTTAGTTAACATAGATGCATCCTCTGCTAGTCAAGACTCTACGTGATCTCACCTATAAGTGGAACCTAATGAAGAAAACAAAGAAACGAGGAAAATAGAACCAGAGACATGGAAATAAGGAACAGACTGACAGTGACCAGAGGGAAGGAGGAGGGGATGACAGGGGAAGAAGGGGAAGGGTCTAGTCAAGGAGCATGTATGAATGACCCACGGACATGGACACGGAGTGGGGACTGACTGAGGGGCTGTGGTGTGGATGGGGCAGGCGAGAGCAACGGGAAAAATTGGGACAACTGTCCTTGAACAACAAGAGGAAGAAAGAAGAAAAATATAGTTATCTCCCACTCTAGAAGTGTGATGTGACTTCTGTTTGTTAAACAATGTAACTTCAGTTTGCTCCTTATTTCCATGTCTCTGGTTCTATTTTCCTCGTTTCTTTGTTTTCTTCATTAGGTTCCACTTATAGGTGAGAGCACATAGTATCTTGGGTGCCTATGGCCCTGAACACTGGCCTCAGGAGATTCTTGCTTGCTTGCCTGCCTGCCCACTCATTTCTCTTCTTGACTTGCAGCTCTGAAAATTTCCCTTTGGACACTCACGTTCTCCCTCTTCCTTATCTCCCAATTTTGATCTCTAACACATTTCATTACAGCACTGTCTTTCCTATCTATTTCCTCTTCCCATTCCCACTGTTATCTCACCAGTCGGGGCAGAGCTATCGATCTCTTGCTGAGAATATTTCAAGAGACCTGTCCATGGTATCTGATCAACACTACTCCCCAGTCCCAGAGCCGGCTAACGCGTCACTTACCAGGTCCAAAAACATCCATGGTCCTCCCGATTTAATAAAAATAAATTATCCTGGCTGTCAAAGAACTTCTTAACATAGCCCCCCACTCCCTTTCCAGCCACTGCTTTAACTCTTTACAGCAAGCTCCTCATATGTGAAGCAAGAGAGTCCCTGCCGTGCACAGCCGGGTCTGTGTACAGGAGACAGAGCTACTCCCCTTCTCCCTGAACCTTTTCCCATTGGCATTGCTCTCCTTCAGGCCCTATTCTGCTGAAGAGTTTTTTGTTTTGTTTCATTTTGTTTTGTTTTACAACCCTAGAGCAACATATATTTTTCAGTAGGCCTCTTATTTTGTTATTTCTTTTGGTACTAATCATCTGTCTCAGTTTCCTCTATCATTACTGGGTTTAAGTTCACTGAAGTTCAAAACTGGATCTTGCCTTCTGTTTAACTTCTGCCGTGGTGTACGGTAGATAGTATCTACAACAGCCAATGCTAAGAAGGTAAATTAATTGGATTTTTAATGGAAAGACACACTTCAGTGGGGATATTTAAAGAAATCCTTTCTAATAAGACAAAGAACCATGAATGCAGTAAATAATGTCTTAATTTGTCTTTTACATAATGCTGAACTTTTCCTCATTGAGGGTTTTTATGACACAGAAAACATTAAAATAAACTAAATAAAAAACCAGATTAGGAGTATGTTCTTTGGTTAGACAGCCCAAAAACAACACAGTTTGGGATTTGCCCCTTGGTCTGATACATCACAAAATCCCCCTCTGTCTTTTCCTCCTGCTCTGGGGAGACAGTGTTTATTTGTAAAAGATCTTGATTAGATTCTGAAGGCAGACTTGGGTTCAAATTCTAGTTCTCCTAGCTGCGTGGTTTTGGTCAAGATATTTAACCGTCATGAATGTCAATCATCCTTTACTACTTTCTCTGCAGGAGGACTGCAGTCTATGGCGCATGCAAAGCGTAGCACATAGAACCTGTTAGAAAGTCTCTTTCCCCGTAGAACCAGCAATGCAGGGACCACGGGCTAGAAGAGCGGTGAGTCTTAACAATGAGGGCAGCGCAGTAAGCTAGACAATCATTTTTACCTGCTACTGACGGCGGATAAAGAGACAAAGTAATAGTCCAATTACAGTTCATATACCACTAACAACCATGACTTTAATTACTAACCAAATACTTGTCATAGACCAATTATTTTTGTCAAGCATCCATTTCCCCCTATCAGTTTTAGAAGGGACAAAGTGGCATTGTAAGGATTAGTCCATGATATTAAACGGTGCAGAATTCAAAGTTCTTTCTACCCACTTGCATCTCTCCAAGGCTTCCAGTAAATGGAGACAAACCCCCTTCCCCAGCATGAATTCCCCCTGTTCCTCCGGTTCCCTTTCCACTTGCCATTCCTGCTTCAGGTGAGATAACCTGGCACTGGACATTTCTAACCCGAAGCCTTAAAGAGATTAAAACAGTTGCCATAGTTCACTACTGGAGGTGCTTGTCTTTTCTTTTAAAGATTTTATTTATTTATTTTTTAGAGAGGGAAAGGAGGGAGAAAGAG